AGGCAATATTATCGTTTATCGCAATAAATTTTGAGACAATTAATCGCCCAGCAAAATTTGTTATCGTGACTGGCCTAATTTTGGTGTTTTTGAAAAAGTTGGGAGGAGAAATCGTTTGTTCTCTTAAAAGAATATGGCAGTATAACTTAGGTTTGTAAAGGTTTATTTCAACAAACCACAAAAAATCCTGCTGACACCAAATCCAAAATTTCCCTTCATTTCCCTAAACATTTCTTGGTTAAAACATTTGATATCTTTGCTCCATTGTGAATAAAATATGCAAATCATTGCATTGTGTTTTTAATTTACTTTTATGCAATGTCACAACCTTTTAGGAATTKGGGTTGTAAAACATATATATTCATTACAAATAAGACAATTCACCAATCACAATAATCAAAATTAAGCAGTAACAATCAAAGCAGGGTTTCCCCTACATGTAATTGATCGTGGCACACCACCACGGCTAAATAAAAGCCGCCACACCTTCGGAATGAAGGTGTTGTTGTTTTTTTAATCAATGTAAAACGGGTGGACACAATCATGTCCGAGACAACCTATTTTCGTTTCGGACAACCAGATCCCACCTCCTGGTTGTCTGGTGGACAACCAAGAAAAAAGACCTAGATTAAAGTTTTCTGCCGCAGGTGTTCGTCATTGTAAAAATGAACGGGAGAAAAAAACCTTGCTAAAGCTGTCCATCTAGGGACGTCTACCGTCTAACTGACGGTTCTTTCATCCAATAAAGAGCACCAGAATCAAACTTTTACCCAATCAGAACAGAGCAGGGCGGGTCGTGCCGTCTGACAGCGCTGCCTTTTTTTCTCTCTCTGGGGGTCAGCTCAGCTCAGGTGAGCACCTCCCAGGAAAGCCGTCAGCATTTCCTGGACTATTTTCCACCGAGGATTACGTCATATTTCATATATTTCTAAAAGCACCTCGCAGCATTTCTCCTGTAAGTAACACCGTGTGTTTACAAGCACAACAAAACCACGACAGATCACCTGACGGGTTTTAAAGCGAGGGCTGAGAGCCAGTGTGACTGAAGCTGCTGCACCTGTCCACCTGCAGCGCGGCTCCAACCAGCCCAGGACTTCAGAGCCCATAAATCAACCCCTTTAGATGGTTACTTGTATAATGAACATCAAAAATCAGTAATTTTGCTCAAAAAAATCTATTAGTCACACGCGAATGGGGTGGAGGTGCAGGAGGACCACAGCTGCACGGGGTGGGGGAGGAGGAGGTGGGGCGTCTCTTAAAGACGAATCAATGTTTGACTTTCATTTTTTCTTTTTTTTTCTTTTTTTGACTTTCATTTTTTCTAAAATCACAGAGTTCTGAGTCAACTTCAGGTGTTTGTAGTTAATCATATTTTCTAAATTTAACCAGATGCTTCAATGCATTTAAATTACACTATCATTTTATTGGAGAAACTTGTCAGTTTGGTTAAAAAAAGCATGAAAAAAATCAGTAAAAAATATTTTTTTTTCTGTGCAGAAAACGTCTGCTATAATTTATGGTTAACATAAACATATAAACATATAAACATATCAAAACTCCTCAGTTGAAAACACTAAAATGATAGAAAAGATGTTTAAAAACCTCTTTCCTCATTCAGTCCTAAGAGAACACTAAAACTGTAACTTTCAATATGTTCATGTACACAGTGTACTCCTATTTAAATAAAAATGTTTGACCTGTAAGCAGAAAGCTTATGGATGTTGGATGTTGATTTGTGGTCTCTATTTCAAAGAGAAGGAGAACGAGGAAGTTCTCCTCAAGCGCTCCTGAAACTGTCAACCTGATGACTGAGAACATTTGTATACAGAACAATATACTTATTTAATTAAATTTTATTTTCCATTTACCTAAAAACTTAGAAGACCAAAAAAATCCATTGTTTTCTGCAGTTTCGTAGTGGTTTCAGT